CCGGGGGTCAGACCCGTACCCTGACCCGCCCCCCGGGGATCCCCATGTGACAACACTGCCGGTAGCACTTGAGTAGCGGTAGGCCGAGCAGAAGAAGACAAAAAGTTAGTACTTTTAGAGGCCCAGTAGTGGTAGGCCCAGGTCTAGGCGGGTACCAGTCCAAGTAGCCTGAGTCTAGGGCCTGTGTGGATGATATCAGAGCCTGTATGATGTTTCCCTCCGAAAGGGAGGAGGTACCGGTTGCTTGGAGGCCGAGCCTGGAAGTCACCATCAGAGAGGCTGGTTGGCCGCTATATCTCCAGGCAGAGCGCTGGGCTCTGCCTCATTTGCGGGCGTCATGCTGCTTGAGTGGGCGCTGGTTCTCAGAGCGCTGCTGGGGAGGAAGGAGCAATGGGCGCTCTGCTTGGCTATGGTGAGCAGCCCAGCTTGAGGAGGAAGAAGGGGACGAAGGAGGAGAGTGGCAGGGTACTTACCGGGCTATGGTGGACGCCAGCTTCATCACCTTGTTAGGCGCTGCATCTGGAAGGTCGCTACACCAAGAAGGCTTCAAGGCAGAGTCGAGCAAGGCGACCTGAAGAGCAGCGGACATAGCTGCTTTTGCGTTGTCTTTTGAACGTCAGGGCAAGGCCCAGTAAGAGGGAACTTCAGATATTGGCTCTGGCTCAGCCATTCATTGTAATTATTGTTATTGGATGAAGAATAAGCTTGGCAGAGATAAGGAGGAGAAGGAGAATGGAGAGAGAAGGGGGATTTGTCATTGGTCTTGCTGGTGTACATCTTCTTCTTCTTTTCTCTTTTTTTTTCTTCATAAAACAGGTCCTTTGTTGCATACTGTAACGTGCAGACCAGAACAAGAACCGACCTTTCAATACAAAGTACAAGATAACACAGCGGAAGACTTAGATACCAGTGATCCGAACAATCAATGTTGTAATGCAGCCCTGAACATACATCATCATCATCGTTACATGGTGTGAATGGGTCTGGCGCTTCGCACAGGAAGACTGCGCCAGCCCATACCATACACAGGCAAAGAGGAAGGGGATAGACGAAGAGGAGGAGGAAGATAAGAATGTCGTCAACATCAAGTCTTCGGCACAAGCCCAAATAGTCCCTCGTCGAAATGTCTGAATCCCAAAAGTCTGGATCCAGTGTCGTCAAGTCTCAAGTCACAACTCTGTCTCTCTCTGTCGTAGTCTGAGAAGTCAGGTGGCGAGAGGGTGCGGAGAGAAGGTGGACTTAGAAGAGGAAGAAGAAGAACTCTCTCTCTCTCTCTCTGTGTCCAGTACTAACCTGTGAAGTTGGCGCCTCGATGCAGGTACCACGAAGATGGAGCTGGAGCGATGGCGCCACAGGTAAGTCCCACTGGCCTCCGCCAGTATCTCTCCCACTCTACGATCTACCACCTACCATAGCGCCCAGCGCTGAAGACTACCACTAAGGCTATGGGCSCCCAGCGCCGAAGACTACAGCTAGCGCTATCTACTACCTAGCGCTGAAGACTACTGCAGCGCTCCTCCTGAGTGCTGCGGCCGAATCCTGAAGACTGCTGCCCCTACTGCCAACTACCTGCCCGTGATATGCCTGGGAAGGTCCTATGTACTACCCGGGGTGCCTCCTGACTCCTGCGAGCAGTCCAGGAGGCTGCTCTTGCCAATGCCGATCGGAGACAGGGGCTGCAGCTGCAGCTCCTGCCCGAGTTCGTGAGGAACAGGCTATTTCTAGCATGTTCCGCATCCCTGTTTACGTGCCTGAGTCTTAGGGGCAGGTCGAAACAATGAGGGCCTGAAAATGGCCCTCCGTTTCAGGCTGAAAACTCTGGGTCTGAAAAGACCCAGAAATAGGCTGAAACGGGGTAGGGCCTGCAGGCCCTCGTTTTTCAGCTTTCAGGCTGAAACGACCGGGGCCTGTAAGCCCTAAGTTTTAGGCTTTTAGGCTGACTGTCCGGGACGGGCCCTGCAGGGCC